GGGGCTCCCTCGCTGGGTATCTTTAAGAATCAATTAAAGACATGGATGTTTCAGCAGGCCTTCCCATCAGATAACTTCTGACACCCTCTCTTTCCTCTCTTACTCTTTTTTGCTTTGTGTAATGTAACGTAATGTTTTTGCCACTTAGAATTCTTTATATATATTTTATTGTATTATTTTATGATTGTTAACTGCCTAGAGTCGTCCTCACCCGACCAGATAGGCAGGATATTAACAAACAAACAAACAAACAAACAAACAAATAAATAAATAAATAAATAAATATCAGTTTCCTTGTATAAGGGTTCATTATGTTACACCACATATACACTGTCCTTGCTCATTATTTTAATAATTTCAAGTTGGTTTGGTGGATAGTTCAGATTTCTGCAATATTAATCTTCACATAGTTTAACATGCATGATTTGTTACCAAAAAGTATGAGAATAGGTGCTAACATAGATCCTTTTCAAAGGACATGAGGCCAATACAGTGGTGCCTCGCTTAGCGCGTGATCCATCTGGACCTGGCGCTCACTACGGAATCTCAGGTGGCGTGGGTGGTCCGCACCGCCTTTTTTCATCTCGGGCGGATAGCCTTTAGCGATGGGCCCCTATGGGCAAGAATCGCTTTGCGATGATCGCGGGGAAGCGATCATGGCAAAGCGACCCTTTTTGCACCCCCACTGTTTTGCCTTGCTTTATAGGCACCAAAAATGGCCGCCCCTATGGAGGATCTTCGCATGAGGTCAGTTTTTAAGCCCATAGGAACGCATTAAACACATTTTAATGCGTTTCTATGGGCTTTTTAAAATCGCTTAGCGATTAAATCGCTTAGCAACGTTTTTCCTGGAACGGATTAACGTCGCTAAGCGAGGCACCACTGTACATGGTCTATCATTGGCCAAAATAATGAAAGCTAATTGGAATTTTGAGGTTCAAAGGCAGAGTAGCACATCTGAATGCTAATTGCTGGTGGACAAGTAGCCGGACACAACTTTTGACTTTAGGCCTTGCGGATTTACTGTAACTGGATAACTACTGCTATAACAAGACCTTGGTCTCAAGCAGTGATCATAAAATCTAAGTCTAGGTAAAATTTGAATAAGTCCTTTTCACTTGCAATATGTCAGTTGTCCAGCAAACGTCCTACTTTAAGGTCTATAGACCAGCTCACTCATTTCAGATTTAAAATTAAATTTAATTCCTCTCAAATAAGTCTTTT